GAGCCTTCACAGGCATTGCTGGATGAATGTGTACATCAATATGACATGCGAACACTGAGATACGTTGAACCGGCGAAATGCAAAGCTAGGGAGTTGGAGATCTCAGTGTGAAAGTCTGACAAGAAGTTGCGTATTGAATCCAGCACATTGTCCATCAGAGAGGCCAAGACCACGCCGGAGGAAGACGTGTCCACGGCTTACAAGCTTTTGCAGTGTCTCAAGAGGCGTGCCATTGCTTGTGAGTTTGCTGGCTTAGTTTCGTATGCCACGCATGAGAAGTATATCGAAAAGTTGCTCAGGAGGTTGAATGCAGAACCACCGCCCAACTACATGCATACGTCCATCACGCAGATTCTCAAAGCTGACAGAGAAGTTTCGATTTATATGGCCCAGAACGTGCCTGATATCCGCCCACGACCTGACGGGCAGAGACCTTTGGACAAAGCCTTGCATGAGGCCTTGGCAGACTACAATGTGACTTTCCATATGCTGCCACTCCTTAGGGCAGCATCCAGCTCTTATGCACCGGTCAGGAGCAGGGATGAGCATATTGGTCAGACCGCTACTGGGAAAGATGGCAATTAAAAATTTAGAAAGACGGACAAAGGAAAGTCGAAAACGTCAAGCCAAGGTTCTTTGCTCCTAGAGGAATCAAAGGCGCTGTTGGCCGTGACGCCGAAGGGAGAGCCATTTGTTTCAACTTCAACCTGTCGGAACTTCAAGAAGCAGCAGCTGGAGCCAGTTGCAAGCGTGGGCGCCATGTCTGCTTTAAAGCAAATTGCTTTAAACCTCACGCCTTCAGTGTGGCGCATGCAGATGAGATGCCAAGGGCAGCTAACTGACAGGCGGAGTCCATTTTGGAGGGTTTCACTTCCAAGGATGTCATTATGCTGGAGTTATTTTGTGGTACAGCTGGCGTAATTGCATGCTTTAAAAGATGTGGATTTCACAATGCTGTTGCAGTGGACAAGACGCGGCACAAGGGTGCTCTTGCAGGAGTTGTGTTTTTGGATATGACTAGGCAGCAGGATCAGCGTTTGGTATTGCAATGGTTGGAACACCCAGCTGTCAAAGCAGTTTTTCTTGCTCCCCCTTGCGGCACATCTAGCGCTGCAAGGAATATAGAGATACCGGGAGAGAATGCACCAAAACCACTTAGGTCTCTTGAAGAGCCTGATGGTCTTTCGACATTGCATGGTGTGGATGTGTTGCGGGGGGGAGAAGTGTTGCAAGTTGAACATTATGTGTATGGTTGAGAATCCAAGGAACAGCTTGTTTTGGTTTGTGACTGCGTGGGTGGAAATGTCAATTTTTCATTTGTTGTACTTTCAGGATCACCAGGCATGTATGTACGGCCCGAGAAGAGCGAAGTTTACAAGACTGTGTGCAGTGCTACCTTTGAACAAGTCTGTACAATTTCTGCATTGTGCGATGGAAAACATGAACACAATGCCTGGGGAATAGTCAAATTTGGAGCAAAGCGTGCTTCTTTCGCTACGTCTCTGGAAGTACATTACCCACGTGGTTTGTGCGAAGCAATAGTAAAGGCATTCATGTTGAAATTTGCAGAACTGGGCATGAAGTTGAATCATGAGGTTCGGCATTGCATCATGCTGCAAAGGCGTTGTCTGGTCAGCAAGCAGTTTCTATGAAGTTGCCGCCTCTCATTCCGGTTTACAAGGCAGCATAGATATGTTGCCTTTTTGCTTGATGGTATATTACAATGGTCTGCGCTGGCGGCTGTCCCATCTGAACATCGCGTTCTCCACAAATCTTCTCTGGGGGTGGTCAAGGTGGAGAATCGAGAGTATTTCAAGAAGCGCATTTGGGAAGAGCTGTGTGTTTGGCAAGTTGTTTTGCTTGGGACAGTTTCATGCATTTTTCTGGTGATTTTGATGAATTTCATGTGCTTGGTGTGCCGTGGGAGCTTGACGAATTTTTGCAGAAATCGCTGGAGGTGCCACATCCCATGGACAAGTCTGCTGCACTCTTAACGGAACTGAGGTTTGCTGTTCTGCAAATGGCAAAGCTGGAGGTGAGTGAGATTGCAAGGCGTGGAGTTGAGTTTTTCCAATATTAGAATCACAGAGCCAGGGAACTGATCCCGGAGGAGGCCAAATTGCGACAATCTATGGATGTGGAAGTTTCGAATGCAGTGAGATCCAAGCGTTTGGTTTTGTTTGGTGAAACGTTACAATTTTACAATTACCCTGACAAAGAAGTCCTGGAGGAACTGACAGGCATGTTGCCTCTCAAATTCACATCTTCTCTACTGACAGAGCAAGACCTAGCTGCTCAAGCAGCATTGCGTAGGCCTTTAGTTGAAAGGGATTGTAGAAGTTCAGGTGAAGCCGAGGTTGATACCAAGGTCTGGAAACAGACCATAGCTGAGTGTGAGCGCGGCTGGCTGCATGGCCCGCTGAAAGCTGAAGAGGTACCTGTTGGAGCATCCATTTCTAAGAGGTTTGGATTGCGCCAACGCCACAAGATCAGGTTAATTGATGATTTTACGGAATCTTCAGTAAATCAATCAGTCAGCGTGCTTGAATCGCCAACTCTCCATACAGTTGGCATAGCATGTGCAGTGCTTGCTTGTTGGTTCAGAAATAGCAAAGCGCTTGGTTGCTCTTCAGAATTGCAAGTGAGGACATTTGACCTGGCAAGTGCTTATCGCCAAGTCGGGCTTTGTGCAGGTGGCAGAGCAGTAGGATTTATCAGAGTATACAACCCAACCACAGGGCAATGGGCTTACTTCCAAGCGAAAGTTTTACCGTTTGGAGCTGTAAGGAGTGTGCACTCCTTCTTACGTCTTGCTCGTGCTATTTGGTGGATTGGAAGTGTCGCTTGCCTACTGACCTGGTCATCCTTCTTTGACGACTATATTGTCTTCAGCACCCCTAGTTTGGCCAGAAGTTCGGACTTGACAGCTGCTGCACTATTTTCTCTTTTGGGTTGGGAATATGCTACGGAGGGGCGCAAGAGCGTCCTTTTTGTGCAAAATGCGAAGCCTTGGGAGTCATCTTTGACCTTGTTTCAACAAGTGAAGGTTTGTGCCCTGTGGCCAATACGGAGTCTAGGATCACTGACCTTGTTGCAGAGCTGGAACGTGTTATTTTGGACCGTAGCATTTCTCAATCCGATGCCCAGCGCTTGAGAGGGCGCATGCAATTTGCAGAATCTCAGCTGTATGGAAGGACGGGAAAGCGCTGTACCAGAGCGCTCAGAGAAGCTGCCAGTCGCAGGAGACACCGGTTGGCTGAGCATGAGTTGTTTGCGTTGAAGCTCTCCTCGAAACTTTTACAGCATGGAAAGCCACGCACTGTCTGTTGGGATGAAAGGCGACCAATAGTTATCTACACTGACGCCTGTTATGAAAAGGACTCCAAAAGACTTGGTGTGCGGCCTGGGTGCAGTATTTGTGGATGAAGACAAGTCAGAGAAGTTCTTCTTTTCTTGCGAGCTGAATCCGGAACAGAGGGGAATTTTGGGAGAGCTCAGCAAAAAGCAAATTATCTTTGAAGCTGAGTCGTTCTGTGCGGTTTTGGCATGCATGTTGTGGATGCGGAAACTCGAATTTAGGAACTCCCTCTTGTATTTGGACAACGAGGGAACGAAGTCTTGTTTGATGAAGGGATCTTCTGACAATGAGTTTGTTGATGTCTTGTGTTCAATTTTTGATGAACTGGAACTTGTTGTGGAAACCTCTTGTTGGCTAGCCAGAGTGCCTTCACATTCCAACATTGCAGATTAGCAATCGCGGGGACAAACTCATGAATTGCGAGCGAAAGGATTTTGTGATCATTTTGCATTTGCCTTGGAGGAGAGGAGATTATCAAACTTCTTGCATTCATAAATGAGAAGTGGGGTAAGACGGCTGAATGCTGTGTCGTTTGCCCCACGTCAAAAAGTGCAGAGTGATCCTGCAGTTGCTGTGAGCGTCGTTTTGCAATAAGCGACTATCACTTGTGACAGAGTCTTATTTCAAATGTGAAGTGCATGTAGCAGCTTCAAGCGAATCGTAACATTTCTTGTCAAGTGGAGGGCGGGAGGGCCCACTTCGAAATTTTATGGTTCAACCCACCTCCTGCCCCAGAACACCACCTTTGCTTGGCATTTTGGATCTGTTGGCCTACCCGCAGCCAAGACGGCTGAATGCTGTGCCGTTTGCCCCACGTCAAAAAGTGCAGAGTGATCCTGCAGTTGCTGTGAGCGTCGTTTTGCAATAAATAAATATGTTTATCTATATCACCCATATAATATATATATATTTATAATATTATATATATATATATTATATTATCCATATTATTATATATTATCCATGTTGTCTATTTTTCCTACATCATTCATATTTTCTATATTATCCATACTGTCTATGATTCTCTGTCTATATAAACTTTGTCTTTATATACACACACATATTTTGTATACTGTGCTTTATATATACATAGACAGATATGTGGATATATTTAAACGTACATGCATGCATTACAATACATTACATTACACAATGAATCACACTACACTGCATTGCACCGCAGGGCATTGCATTGCATCGCTTTGCACTGCCCTACATTGCATGTCATTGCATTATGTTACATTGCATTACATTACATTCATAGATGCATATATGCTGTACAACGATGCAAAGAGATGCAAAGATGCAAAACATGTAATTCATATTTTCTTTCCTACAATAATTGAACCTCATTGTCAGTGCTCCATTCTATGTTCTACTGACAGCGGCCCAGAGATTGTAGAGATTATGTTGACATTGGCTGGCCACGTTGCTTTGTACCAGCTTCTTCTCTTGATTTTAATTTGCGTATCTTACTTTCTGACCAGTTATATATTCCATCCTTTAAATTATTACGGAATTACGGAGTCTTTAAATAAATTACCGTGCTTAGTTACTTCTGTCGTCAAGTCTGTGCCAAAGAGCAGTTCACTGAGACTGATTTGCTTGTTCTCGTGACACAGAGCACGTGCATGAAACCCAGGCGCGAATACAACCAGAAGATGTCGAAGAAGTCCCAGAGACAGCCAACACGTTGAAACAATTAAAATCGGCACAAGGCTATGGTTTCAGTAGTTTCGCACATGTTCAGAAACTTATCTTTCTCTAGTACTTTGCGTTTGGTGCTTGGTTGGCGCAAGAATCAGTGGATTTTCTCGACTTGGGAGGAGAAGGTCTTTGGGACTTCGAGGACGCAGAAGAATTTTCAGACGACGAGCAGGTTGGGGTGGACCACTGGGGGAACCGTTTGGCCAAACAGCTCTTTCAGCATCTCGAATTCGACTTCGTGAGACAAACATCGACTTGCCGCTTATTCTTTGCTCTCCGCAACTCAAAGGCAGCTTATGCCCTCGATAGGAACAGGGAACGACACTTTTCCAATTGCATGTTCAAATCATCTATTCCAGACTGTACGATAGACAAGGACTGTCAGAAAAGCAGAAGGTTGTGCAATAGTATTGAACTCAACCGCATATACTTAGTGCATGGGTGGTTTTGATGTACAGAGGGGCACAAGCTTGAATAGGTTTACCTGAAGTATAGTAATGCAAACGTGTGTACGTTATGTATACATATATTATGTATATCTACACATTCATGTGTATACGTACATATATTATCACATATATATAAATACATAGACAGTCATATATATATATGCACCCCCCAAGACCTACCTTTTGTGTAGCAAATATGTTCCTGAATGTCTTGTCTTCCTTCTTATTTTATCACCTATTGTAGCTGCACACATCCTGCCCCAGAGTATAGCATATTATTTTTATTTTTTTTGGATGAATACAACTTTTTGTAAGGTAATTGTTTATAATGACTACTGGTGGAATTCATGTTTACTAAAGTTTCTGTAGCAATTCGAAGCCTTTTAGTTTTCTACCAAAGCTGAGCTTTGTGCAAGATTAGGTGATATAGTTAGTGCATCTTGAGATTTTACATTTTTATAATGCAATTACTTATTTAATCCTCCTACAATTTCATAACATTCCATCAAACTTTGCATAGTAAATTGACAATAACTAATCATATTCTCATTTGATGTTAGTTGTCTTTTTTGTTCTTGTGAACCTCCGTTATTTCCATTAGTTTTTTCTTCAGCATCTACCATAGTTTTTTGTAGAAGAATTGTTTTTTTGCTGTAATGATTTATTTTTAATATTTGTATAATGTAGATGATCTTGTAATTTCATTGTTTTAAATCCAGGAGTGCTTGAGTAAGATATATTTTCTTTTAAACATAAATGATTTTGATGATACTAAATTAGTAAGTAAACAAATATATATCAGTTTTTAATAAATGTATCATATTATAATTTGTCTTACTTTTTTATAGTTCATAATTTTGTGATATTTTTTTAAAATAGATATTATAGGAGTTTCTAGCATTGGATGAATATGTATTTTTACTTTGAAAGATCCTATATTTTTTTTGGTTCTTTTAGCTCTATATTCTGAGGATCTAGTTTTAAGTTAATCATTTTTTTTTTATCTTGGATATGTTTTTTTTCAAATTGGTTTGTTTGCATTTTTTTTATGACACTATTCTACCATTTTAAGATGTGAACTTTGATAGCATTTCAGGGTTTTTACAGTCTATTATTTTTTCTATATAAACATAAATTGCGACCATGTTTTTTTAAAAGAAAGTTTTCTTTGCCAATCTATCTGCAACCCGTTCTAATATATTTTGTTGGGAAGGTTTGAATTGATCTGTAGATAAAGGGGTATTGCTATCGGATGAGTTCATGTATTTTACTCATCATTGTTTATTTTTTCCTTCTTAATTGTTCAAGAAATTACTGTTTTAGATTACAGAAGGTTCTTTTTCAATTTATTTTACAGAATACTCTTACCAATCCCGATCAAAATTCGTTAGGAATCCAAGATTTTGATCAGGAGTCTTGTGGGAATCTTGGCTCTTGGATTTTGCAAAGAATGCATTCAGAATGCAATCTTCCCCAAATCTAAGGGGGTAGGATTCAAGATTCAAGATTCAAGATTCCCAGAAAGAATTCTTGAATCCAAGGGGGTAGGATTCAAGATTCAAGATTCAAGGCTTAGAAAAAACTTCTTGAATCCAGGGATTCAAGATTCAAGATTAAAGAATTCTTGAATCCAAGGGGGTAGGATTCAAGATTCAAGATTCAAGGCTTAGAAATGACATTTTTCAAGTTTTGTAGGAGTTCCCTAGAAGTTGATCACCTGTAGCTGATGTAGGTGATGCTGTCTATGTTGTAGATGATGAGGATGATGTTGTAAGTGATGTAGGGTTAGATAGGTTTGAATCACGTAGGTGATGTAGAGGATGCAGTGATATAGATGATGATGTAGGTCATGTATGCGTTGTAGATGATGTATGTCATGTATATGAGACTGATGGAAAAAATGTTTAGGTGATGTAGATGGTGTAGGTGAGGTAGATGATGATGATGGTGGTGGTGGTGGTGAAGATGATGACAATGATGAATATGTAGGGAAGATGGTGCAGAAGATGTAGGCGATGTGGTGATGTAGAGGATGTAGTGATGTTGTTGTTGTTGATGATGGTGATGATGATGATGATGATGTAGGTAATGTATGTGTTGTAGATAAAACATGTCATATAGATGAGGTTGATGGAAAAATGTGTAGGTGGTGTAGGTACATAATGTAGATGAGACAGATGTAGGTGATGATGATGATGATGATGATAATGATGATGATCATGATGATGATGGTGTAGATGTAGAAGTAGGTCTAGACACGATGGTGTAGAAGATGGTAAAGCAGATGTTGGTGATGCAAAGGACATAAGAGATCTGGATGATGTATGTTAGCTAGATGAAGTGAAGAGTGAGGCGGACAGCAGTTCTTTGGGAAAAAACCCTTCGCACGAGCTTCGGGAATATTGGCCACAGTATTGCAAACGCTTTTGGAAAAACGTTTTTTCATAAAGTGTTTGTGCTGTGATTGCGCCTTGCACGCTCGACCTCTAGAGTAAGAAGGGCGGGGCAATAAACATACTTCACTCATTGCGTGTTTGGCAGCTGTTTTTGTTTCTGGCTGTTGGGGATATTCTTTGGGCTTATTCGTTTTAAGTTTTTTCGTTTTAGTTTTTTTTGTTTTTCGTTGGGTTTCTAGAGAATTTTGGAGGTTGCCATAGGAATGGGAAGGTGGCTAGGGACATGCCTGTGGATGGCAGTGTAGCAACTCAGTGCATGGTCCTCTTGTTAATGCCCAAAAGGCATATCCCATCCCAAGGGAGTAGTGCAACCTACTGTAGATAGTTTGAAGGTAGCTCGGCACTTGTAGCAATGGCCACAGCAGAAAACAGTGAGCCCGATGACATGAGTAGCCATTTCTTAGTTGATTTTTGGTTAGTTTAGTTTCTATAGTCTTCTAGGGGCTTCTGAGTGAGGCTAGGCGCGGTGATTCGCGCAAAGAAGCCATCAAATGAACACCTTACTAGATTGGTCTCATGAAAGTATGTATGTACATGTAAAAATGCCGAAGGAAGTTTAGAAGTCAAACTTCCGACAATATGGATGGATGAAGCAGCAGAGGTGGGAAGAGCCAGAGAAGAGAAAGGAAGAAGAAAAAAAATCAGAGAAGAGAAGGAGTCATAAGAAAGAAGCTGAAGGTGCGCGAAAAGGTAGAAAAGTTGCGAATCACAGTGTTTTTCCATGTTTTGTGGCTCCGGAGGCTCAAAAAGTAGGCTCGCTCAAGCGGCGGGTGCGGAGCCATCATTGCACGCCATTGTGGCGCGAAGCAGATTTGGAAGTGAAAATTGCTAAAATGACCGCAGCTTCGAGCCACTTTTGGAAGTTGAGATGTCGAAAAGTGCACTCGAGTGTGGCGCGAGGCACGTTTTGAAGTCAAAATGTACCAAGCACACCATTGTCGGAGCACTTTTTTGAATTTCAGCTGTTGAAAAAGTGGACGCCGCTGCGCGAAGCAGATTTGGAAGCGAAAATGCAAAAATAACTGCAGCTTCGAGCCACTTTTGGAAGTTGAGATGTCAAAAAAGCGCACGGGGTTGGCGCGTTTGGACGTGAAAGCGTTGAAACTGACGGCCTCGGCGCACTTTTGGAGGTCCGGATGCGTTTGTAAGTGGCAGGCGGAATGGATTCTGCACTCAAAACGATGGCAGGCATGGGACGCTTGAGGAGGATGAATTCCGTGTGGCAGGCACGGCACAAAAGACATATCCAGCAGACGGGGGGTTCCTTTTTGGACTATCGCATCTTCAGGTTTGCTAAGATGATTTTGCTTGACAGGTGCAGCACTTCATATGACCTAGCTTCACTTTTTCGTGGCAGGCGCAGTACTTTAGAGAGATAGGACGGCAAAATCGCAAAACGCATTGGTACGAGGCCATCAGCTCTGTATTCAACTTTTCATTTTTGGAGGGTGTGTCGCACAATTATTTTTTGGTGCTTGATGTTGTCAATTTCAAAACTTGAAGTCTCGCAGACTTCTTCGTTTTGGAGCTGTGCTGTGCACATCCTTTTTTTCAGGACGTCTCGCAGACTTGCTTCGTTTCAGCTGGATAGAAATGACAATGGATGGATAGGTAGAAAGATAGATAGATAGATAGATAGATGGATAGAAAAAAGAGAGAAAGATAGAAAGGTAGATAGATAGATTAGATAGGTAGAAAAGATAAGATAAGATAACATAAGATAAGATAAGAATAGATAGACAGATAGATAGACAGACAGACAGACAGACAGATAGATAGATAGAAAGAAAGAAAGATAGACAGACAGATAGATAGGATAGATAGATGGAATAGAATAGGATAGGATGGAAGAGAATAGAATAGGATAGTCGAAGGAAGTTTAGGTGTCAAACTCCCGACAGTATGGACATATGAAAAGCAGAGATGGGAAGAGTCGGAGACAAGAGAAGAGTAGAAGAGAGAAGATCAGAGAAGAGAAAGAGTCAGAAGAAAGAAGATGCAGATGCGCGAGAAGGTAGAAAAGTTGCGAATCACAGTGTTTTTCCATTGATTCGTGGCTCCGGAGGGTCGAAAAGTAGGCTCGCTAAAGCGGCGGGTGCGGAGCCATTTGGCCAGATGAGAGATGAAAAATTGCACGCTGTTGTGGCCCGAAGCACAGTTTGAAGTCAACATGTACAAAACACACCATTCTCGGACCACTTTTGGAAGTTGTGATGTCGAAAAAGTGTACGGCGTTGTGGCGCGAAGCACATTTCCAAGTCAAAATG